AATTATATATGGAAATAACCAATTCAGATCTCAGCTGTTTTCTCAATCCAGACCCTCAACACCGGGAGGTCCTGGAATAGCATATATCTAGCTCTGAAAGAAAATGGATGCCAACCAAGAATTTTATATCCAGCTAAACTAAGCTTCAGATTTGAAGATGAAATTCAAACCTCCCATTATAAACAAAAGTTAAAAGAATTCACAACTAGAAAGCCTGCACTATAGAACATTCTTAGCAATGTTCAATCAGAAAGAAATTGAAACTATAGCCAGAGCCACCAGAAGGAAATTGAAGAAGACCTTAGAAGATGGAAAGATTTCTAATAATCTTGGATAGGCAAAATTAATATTGTCAAAATGGCCATACTACCAAAACAATACATGAGGAGGAAATGAAAAAAAAACTACCAAAGGGAGGACCACACCAAAGAGAAATCAATAAAAGGTGAAACCAAGTCAAGTTAAAATCCAAAAATAAACCCAAATGATCAGGAATACAAATCATATCTCAATAATAACCTGAATGTTAATGGCCTAACCTCATTAATCAAAAGACATAGACTGGTAGATTGAATTTTTTAAAAAGATCCAACAATATTCTATCTTCAAGAGACTCACCTCTTAGGAAAAGACATCCACAGACTGAAGGTGAAAGGGTGGGAAAAAACATAACACTCACATGGACTGCATAAACAAGCAGAGATTTCAATCCACACATCAGATAAAGTGGACTTCAAGCCAAAGTTAATCAGAAGGGACAAAGAAGGGCTTTTTATACTGTCAACAAGACATAACAATCTTATATATATGTATGCTCCAAACAATGGAACATCTATGTACAATAAACAAACTCTTCTTAATTTCAAGAATCAAATAGATTACAACACAATAATTCTGGGTGACTTTAACACTCCTCTCTCACTACTGGATAGATCTTTCAAACAAAAGCTAAACAAAGAAACTATAAAACTAAATAATACAATCAATAATTTAGAATTAATGAACATATATAGAGTATTTCATCTATCCATGGGTGAATACACTTTTTTTCTCAGCAGCACATGGATCCTTCTCTAAAATAGACCAAATGTTATGCCACAAAGTGACTCTCAGCAAATACACACACACACACACACACACACACACACACACACACTACCCTGTATTCTTTCATATCATTATAGAGTAAAACTAGTAATCAATGATGAAATTAAAAAGTACTTCACCTGGAGACTAAATAACATACTATTGAATGATGAATGGATAGTAGTAGGAATCAGGGAGGAAATAAAAAAAGTACTAAGAGATAATGAAAACACCGATACAACATATCAAAATCTTTGGGACACTACGAAAGCCGGTGCTAAGAGGAAATTGATTGCATTGAGCTCATTCATTAAAATAATAAAAAGTCAACAAATAAATGACCTAATATTACATCTCAAAGCCATAGAAAAAGAAGAACAAATCAACACCGAAAGCAAGAGAATACAGGTAATAATTAAATTCAGAGCTGAAATCAATGACATTGAAACAAAAGAAACAATTCAAAAAATTGACAAAACAAAAAGTTGGTTCTTTGAAAAATAAAATGGATAAACCCTTAGCTATATTAACAAAGAGAGAAAGAAAACTCAAATTACTAACATTTGTGATTAAAAAGGAAATATCATGACAGACACTACTGAAATACAGAAGATAATTAGAAACTATTTTGAAAATTTATACTCAAATAAAATAGAAAATCTTGAAGACACTGACAAATCTCTAGAGACACATGATCTACCCAAACTGAACCAAGAGGCCATACTAAATTTAAACAGATCAATTTCAAGTAATGAAATAGCAGACACCACCAAAAGCCTATTAATCAAGAAAAGCCCAGGACAAGATGGATTCTCAGCCAAATTCTACAAGACCTTCAAAGAAGAATTAACACCAATACTCCTCAAATTATTCCATGAAATAGAAAAGGATTGAACACTCCCAAACTCATTCTATGAGGCTAATATCACCCTGATACAAAAACCAGACAAAGACACATCAAGGGAAGAAAACTTCAGACCAATATCCCTGATGAACATAGGTGCAAAAATTCCCCCCAAAATTCTGATAAATTACATACAAAAACATATTTTAAAGAGTGTAGCATTATTCAGTGGGGTTCATCCCAGGGATGCAAGGTTGGTTCAACATATGGATATCAATAAACATAATACATCACATAAATTGACTTAAAGATAAGAATCATATGACCATCTCAATAGATGCAGAAAAAGCATTTGACAAAATACAATGCCTCCTCACGTTTAAAACATTAGAAAAACTAGGGATAGTAAAAACATAACCCAGCATTATAAAAGGTATCTATGTTAAGCCCAAAGTCAACAGAATTCTAAATGGAGAAAAATTGGAAGCATTACCTCTAAAAACTGGAACAAGACAAGGATGTCCTCATTCTCCACTTCTATTTAGCATAATCCTTGAGTATCTAGCTAGAGCAATCAGAGAGAAATTGAAACTATAGCCAGAGCCACCAGAAATAAATTGAAGAAGACCTCAGAAGATGGAAAGATTTCCAATAATCTTGGATATGCAAAATTAATATCATCGAAATGGCCATACTTCCAAAACTATTATACAGATTTAATGCAATTCCTATTACAGTCCCAATTACATTCTTCATAGAATTAGAAAAAGCAATCATGAAATTCATTTGGAAAAGTAAGAGACCCAGAAAAGCCAAAGCAATCCTTAGCAAGAAAAGTGAAGCAGGAGGCATTATACTTAAGTGAAGTAAGCCAAATGGAAAGGAAATAAGTACTGCATATTCTCTCTCATTATGGAAGCTAAAAGAGTCAACCTTAAAGTAGAATAGTGACTACTGGATACTGGAAAAGGTGTGGAGTTGAAGTAGGAGGGAGGTTGTTGGATTTGATCCATGCATGCTCTATGCATGTATGGAAATATCATGCTAAACCCCATTAGTATGTACAATTAATATATGTTAATATTTTCCCTAAAAACTAAGAAAAATGAGGAAAAAAACTACAAAAAAAGTCTAAGCACCTAGGTATATTCTTACCTATGGTCTCCTGAAAAATTTGGTATCTTGCTTTTTCACACTGAGGCCTCAAATCAACTTGGTGTATGGTTTAACATAGAGATTTATATTTTTTGTTTCAGATAATCTATTGTCTGAGTAACACTTAATGGACCACCCCAGTTTCCCTGGTAATTTTTCCTTTGGCATGTATCAAATTTCACTATATGCATGGATCTCTTTCTGGTGCTTCTTTTTTTCAGCTGTTCCATCTTCTGTTCTTCTGATCATACCCATTGTCTTTATTATTAGATTTACAACTTGATAATTTATAGCCCAGGTCTCCAAAGACTTTTTACTTTTTAGAAGAAGTCTCTTTACTCTTTTTGGCTTTTTGTTTTTTCATGAGAATATTAAAGTCTATTAAAGTTCTATGGAAGGCCTCTCTTTGGATATTTTTAGAATTACATTGGAGAATAATTAGAATTTGTTTGAGAAAAGTAGAAAATTCTTAGATTCTTGCAAACATGAATATGTCAATCTTTATAATTATTTAGGTGTTTTTACATGTTCCTCAGATATATTTTGTAATTTTCTCTATGAAGGTCATTATAAATTTTTCTATGACATTTTCTACATAATAATTACTTGATGTTTAGAACACTACTAATTTTAAGTGCTTTGTGTGATTGTTATCAAATAAACATAACATAAATTTTACCATTTTAACCATTTTAAGTATACAGGTCAATGGCATTATAGATATTCGTATTGTTGTGTGACAGGTCTCCAGAACTATTTATTCTTACAAAAGTGAAATTCTATATCCATTAGATAACAACTCCCCATTTTTCTCTTCTCTGATCCCTAGAAACAATTCTAATTTTTCTTTCTATGAATTCTCTATATTATACAGTATTTGTCTTTTTGTGACTGGCTATTTAACTTAGATTATACTTTATAGTTCACAAAGTTCTACCATGCTATAGTATATGTTTGAATTGACTTTTTTAAATGCTGGATAGAGTTCCATTGAGTGTGTGTGTTTGTGTGTGTGTGTGCGCGCGCTCGCGTGTGTGCGCTCATGGACAGGTGGGCCACATTGTACACATCCATTCACCTGTATGTGAACACTGGTATTGCTTGTACTTCTTGGCTAATGTGAATGAATGATGCTGCTATGGATACAGGTTTGATGGTTAATTAGTTAATTTCTATTGTCAATTTAGCTGGATTAATAAATACCAAAAGAACTGGTAAAGCATTATTTCTGAATGTTTTTGTGAGGATATTTCCAGAGTATATTAACATGTTAGTGATGTTAGTGTAGTTGAGAAGATCTGTTCAAGGTAGAAAGTGGGCAAGTGGGCACTCTCGGGCTGGGGCTATAGCCCCAGTGCTATGGCAGAGCACTTGTCTAGCATGATGAGGCACTAGGCTAGATCTTTGGCATCACATAAAAATAAACAAATCAAATAAAGACATTCTGTCCATTTACAACTATAAAATCAAAAAAAAAGGAGAAAAGAAAGAAAGTGGGCACTCTCTAATTAGCTGGGAACCAGGATAGAATACCAAAAAAATAAAAATAAAATAAAACAAACAGAATTCTCTCTCTTTTTCTCTGTTTTTTTTCTCTCCTGCCCCCCTCTCTCCGTCCTGGAGCACACTATTTCTCCCTGGTTGGACATCAGGACTCCAGGCTTCCTAGTCTTTGGATTCCAGGACTTAAGCCAGGGGCCCCTGTTCTCAGGGCTCACTCTCAGGTGAAAGTTACAATATTGGCTTCCCTTGTTCTAAAGCGTTCAGACTGACCATATTGCTGGCATTTCAGTCTCCAGCTTGCAGATGGCCTGCTGTGTGGCTTCTCAACCTTTTTAACTACATGAGCAAGTTCCCCTAATAAATGCCTTCATATTTCCTCCCACATGGTCCTGCCTTTCTGGACAACCCTAGTACAATGGGCATGCAAATATCTCTTCAAAACACTGTGTTCAGTTCTTTTGAATATGTACTCAGAAATAAAATGGCTAGACAATTTGATAATTCTATTTTTATTTATTTTATAATGGGAAACACCATACTTTTTTTCCATTGAGATATCAGAAATTTATATTAGTACTAAGAGTGCATAAGACATTGTAATTTCACTATATTCTCATTATCACATGTTATCTTTGGGTTTTAAAAATACTATTCATCCTAATAGATACAAGTAGCATATGTGTGAGGTTTTGATTTGCATTAACTAATGATCAGTTATTTGAGCATTTTTTATTGTGCTTGCTAGCCATTTGTATATCTTCTTTAATGAAATGCCTATTCAATTCCTTTAACTGTCTTTAAATCAGGTTATTCATTTTTGTTGTTGAACTGTAGGTGGTCTTTATATATTATGAATATTAATCCATTACCAGACATGTGATTTGGAAAAATTATCTTCCATTGGATACTTTGTTCTTTCACTCTGTTGGTTGTGTCTTTTGATGCACAAAAATTTTAATTTTGATGTGGGCCTATTTATATAGTTTTACTTCTGTTATCTATGCTTTTGGTGTCATATCTAAGAATTCATTGCCAATTTCTAATGTCATGAAATTTTTCTCATATTTTCTTAGGAAAGCTTTACAGTTTTCCATGCAATGTGAAAGGTAAGAGTGTGTGTGTGTGTGTGTGTGTGTGCACGCACTCATGCACAGGTGGGCCACACTCATCCTTTGCATGTGGATAGCCAGTTTTTCCAGAACCATTTGTTGAAGAGACTGTCCTTTTACTTTTGTATTACCCTAGAGCTCTTTCATATCATCTACCACCTTTCTTTCTAACCTCAATATTTCTCTATTACAAGTTTGCTCTCAGAAAATAGAACTGGCAATATGTTATAATAAGGGTTCTCGTTAGGATCACAGAAAGTTTGTCTCAGCTTCATCCCTTATTTGCTATGTGAACTTGAATAAATTCCTTAAAAACTCTGAAACAGCATTGTCCTTAATAAGCAGGGAATATAAATAGAACTATCTCTCACAATGCTCTTATAGGATTAATGAATATTTATGCAAAACAAATTTTCACATATTAATCAAATACTAGTGATAGCTATTCAAATAAAAGATGATTCAGTCAAATTGAAATTTGCAAACACAGCAAAGGGTTATTAACAAAGATACCTGTAATTTTCTTCATGAAACCATCCTCTAAATATGTGTAGTGCAATGAAAATGGTGGAACTGTGTACTGCTGTAAAGAGGGACATACACAAATGGAATAGAGTATAACCCAGATATAAAACTTCACATGTGGTCAAATGATAAGTATTTATTAGCCTTTTGCTTGGTTTCTTTTTATTTCCTTAGTTAACTTTGAGATAAATATTTTCCTGTAAAATTTCCTTTTATCTGCTGATGTACAGCATATAGATTATTTTTATTTAAAATTTTTCCATTCATTCGTTATTGTATACTGATTTCTTCTCTATTGTCTTCTGTCTTACATGGGAAATTTCTTCTCAATGACACCAAACAGCATAACTAAGATTCTTGGTGAGACTGACAAGACATTACTCTCTTCCTTTATTCAGTGCTAACCACAAATGATTTTGGTTTTTTCTTTAGTGGGTAAATGACACCCCTGTCTGAAACTTACATGCTCCATGAAATAGCCCTGTTCTTGATGAATTATTTGCTCCAAGTATCCTAGAAGAGTGACCTCTGTAAGAGACCTTTGAAACAGGCCCTGAGACATGAAGAAGTTGGGCCAGGGTCATATAAAATTAGAAAATCAGTGTTAACTCAAGTGCTCTGCCTTTGTCACAGTGCCATCTATGTGGAATCACATCGGTATCTGACTTGGAAAATGGGGGTTATTTTTAATTAATACTTCTCTTATTTTGAAACATCAAGAATCCAACGTTCATCCTTCCCAATTGGTCATGATTCAGACTCATTCCTTTAGAAAGTAGTGATATGAACCAATACTTCCTCCCTGCTACACTGATCACAAAAACTGAACATCCCAATAAAAATCCAATTCAAACTTCTAAACAAGATAACCAAAACCCTGAGACCTGTTGAGAACTGTTTTCCATACACTAACTGCTCTACAACGAACAGGATGGGCTCCATCATCTGAGGGCTCTGACAAAAAATTATTCAAATTTCATTAATCTGTTACTCTCTGTCTCTGCCTCTTTCTAGTACTTTCCAGAGAGCCCCTTTCATGTCCTTGTTCCTTAGGGTATAGATCAGAGGATTGAGCATGGGAATGATGATAGTATAGAAAAGGGCAACAAATTTTCCCTGGCTCTCAGAGTAACTGCCCGTGGGTTGGAGGTATGTGTACATGGCTGAGCCATAAAACAGACAAACCACAAGGAGGTGGGACCCACAGGTCCCAAAAGCCTTTCTTCGCCCTGCCATTGATTTGCTCCTCAGCACTGCCTGAGCAATGTGTGCATAGGAGCCAACAATCAGTGCTTCAGGAACAGCCACAACTATGACTCGGGCCACAAACATCTTGGCCTCTGTGCCTTCTGTGTCCTCACAAGCCAACTTCAGGAATACAGGCATCTCACAGAAGAAGTGGTTCAGGTAATGGAGGCCACAAAGAGGCATGGCCATCATGAGGCTTGTCTGAATCAGAGAGTTCATGAGACCTCCCACCCAGGCAGCAATAGCCAGAGTCAGGCAGAGAAGGGGGTGCATGATGGTTGTGTAGTGGAGTGGACGACACACAGCAGCATAGCGGTCAAAGGCCATCACCACCAACAGCATACTCTCAATGGAACCCAGGGCGAGGACAATGAAGAGCTGGGCCACACACCCTCCGTAGCTGATGGTCCTGTCAAGTCCAGAAAGATTGATCAGCAGCTGGGGCACAGTGCTGGTGGTATAGCAGAAGTCCAGGAAGGAGAGGTGGCAGAGGAAGAAGTACATGGGTGTGTGCAGTCGAGGATCCAGTCGTGAGAGAATGATGATGGTGGTGTTGCCAAAGAGGGTTAGGGAGTAGAAAATCGAAATATAAATAAAAAGGATGAGTTCCAGTTGAGGCCAATCTGAGAAGCCCACCAAAATGAAGCCCTCTCCAAAACTGGTGTTGAAATTTTCCATAGCTGTGTGCCTGCATAAATAATGGAAGACAATTCAATGCCCCCTATGAAGAACATGGATGAAAAAATTATTCACAATATTCCCTAAATACTCCAGAATGATGTGTTTCCCTGTTTTCTATTCAGTTCAGTTCTATGCAGTCTTCTTATTTTTTTTCCTATTAAAACTGTAAATCACTGGATTAGGAATGATGTCATCTTTCTTTGACTGTGGCCCTGCTGCCTGTGTGTTCTGTGACAGGTCAGGTCACTCAGTCCTGTGGATCTTATGCTTCCTTGTCTGAAAGTAGAGGTGACACTTTGTTTCCACCTTGCATTGATATTACAACAAAATGTAGTAATGTAGACACTGCTTTTAAATACCTAAGGCATAAAAATGCAACATTATTATTGTTTTTCTCCTTTTTTTTCCTCTCCTGGATCTATCGGTAACTTCTTTCAAATTTTAATCTAGGACTTATCACACTGATATCAGAAATTTGACCTCTGGGTGTAAATAGGCTTTTCAACTCAATAAATATAGTTAGTGCACCAATCCTGGAAAATTTGTTCATGACCAGCTGCCTTGATCAGAAAAAAACTCAGTAGACTGTTGATCCATCTCTTTAGGGGAAAAAAAAAACAATTAGCAACAAATATGTTCTTTATAGTGAGTCATCATGCCTAGAATGCCACTTGCCCACATCTTCATCTGATAAATCCTATACTTCACCTGCACAGAAAGAGCTGTTCTTTCTTTTCTCACCCAGCCCTCTTTGCATAGTTTCTCTCTAGTACTTGTCCACTCACTGAAATATTTTTACATGTCTTTTCCTTTCTCAGCTGAGAGCTCCTCAGTGGTACAGAACTAATTGAATATAAAATAAATATTAGCATCTTCCCTTATAATACTCAAGATATGATAAATTAATGTTATATTAATTCATTACACATAACAGCTATTAAAGACATTTTGTCATGTATAGCATTTGACTCTCCCTGTAAATTTCATTAAAAAATTTATTTCTTTTAAGAAATCCACAGGATAACAAATAACACTTTTTGATAGACTATGGAAGAGGGATAGACATGAAAATTTGCCTTCCATGAAAGGCTAGCATTTCTTGTGGCAAAAATCCAAACAAGACCATTTGAAAATATGTCAGAAAGTAAAAGAGGAAAAAAGTTATCAGCAATAGAATCCATAATCCAAAAGAGAACTTTAATATGATGATACCTGAACAATCAAAATATAAATGGTCATTTTAGTTAATAAAATAATAATATATTTGAACTGAAAGAATTGAACTTAGCTTCCAAACTTCAGTTGGACAATGGAGAACATAAAACTTGCCAACTTAATAGCTAAATACAATCCCATATAGCCAAAGTAATTCTGAAAAATTTTTTAAAGTTGTGGTGTTGCATTTCCTGATTTAATTTTTTTTACAAAACAAGAGTAACCAAAACAGTATGGTGTACACACATACACACACAAACACACACACACACACACACACACACACACACACACACACATGGACCAGTGGATCAGAAGACATGGTCCAGATATAAATACTAACATATGTGTTTAACTTTTCACCAGGGCACTAATAGAACACAATAAAGAAAGGATAGTGTCTTTCATAAATTGTCCTGGGTTAAATAAATTTCTTCAGTCAAAGAAATGAAATTAGTTTTATATCATTTCATGCACAAGAACAATTTAAAAGACAAAAATAGCCTGCCATTTACTATAACATGGATGGAACTGGGTGACATTATGTAAGGGAAATAACAAAAACTGCATGGTCTCATTAAGTGTGCAAGGTGAAAGAAAAATAAGTCAGATACATAGAGATAGTAAAAAACAAGGTTGCTGATAATGAGGTGGGGCAGGAAATGAGGAACATAAGTCAAAGGATACTAAATAGAAGATATTTGGGATGAAAAAGTCTATACATCTAATAACAATGTGAAAACTAGGTGTAATATATTTGTATATTACTTGGGATTTGTACTAAAATAACAAATTTTAGCTGCTCTTCTCACAAAAACAAAGAAAAAATGTGAGAAATTATGTGATACAATATATAGTATCCCATAGAATCATGATTTATACTTTAAATATACATGATAAAATTTATTCTTGCAAATGAAGTAAGAAATAAAAAACAGAAGACAAAGTAAATTAAATTATTCAAAAAAAAATATATATATATATATATATATATATATATATATATATATATTTCCCCATCCATTGGGTATATCCATAGGACATCAATTTTTTTAAAGTAAACTGTAAATAGATTGAAGAGGGATTGGTAGAGCAGAGAGAGACAGAGGAGAGTGGGGTGGAAGGAAAGTGCTGGAGGATTCAATTGGAGCAGATTGTGCTTCATGCTTTTGTGATAATTTCAGGTTGTATCCTGGTGTTGTTTGTAACTGAAAAGAAAAATTTTAAAAATAAAGAAAGTCATGTCATCTTGCAATAGTTTGACTCTTATTTAGAAAGTGAGCTATGGACGTAGTTTTGTGTCATTGGAATCTAGTACTTTTTAATCCAGAAACTGGTGTGCAAGAACAAGGGCACCACATTATGTACACTCTAAGTTAAATTTTTTCTATCCCTGCTCCATCATATTGAATTTTTCAAACCGAAAACTCAGCACCTGCTGCTTGATTGCAAGCAACTTGCTTGGTTGATGAGCCCTTCTTTCCCAAATCCCAGGGGCCTGATAAAGTATGGTCTGATATCCAGAAACACAATATAACATTCCCAAATGAAGTGTCCCACTAACCTTCTCCCTGTGACTCCCTGTGTTCAGCACAGTCTACCTTACCCTCCTACTTTAGGCACTTCTCTGACACTAAGAAACCAGATCCTACAGTGATGACTGTCTTCCAGTCCCTTGTAGAGATTTTCCCCACACTTCTCTGGGCTCACTGCTGGGGTCTGCCTCAAGCCCACATCTGGTAATCATGGAAAGAAAAGTTCTTCTTACTCATGAACTCCCTGGGAATTGTTTTATCTTCAAGAAAAGTTACGCATTACGCCTCAGATGGACCTCACATTTGGGAGTCTGTGTGGATCCCACACAATATTCCTAGCCCTCTATCTCATAACCCACAAGGGTTTGAGACCTAAGAAGGCAAGTCCACCGTTGGTCAAAATGGCTCAGGGAATGGGTGCCATTAGGCCTCAGGCAAATTATCACAGTGCATATAGTTGGGAAAGGTGGGAAAGGTCTCATTAGGGGAGCACACAGAATAGACCCAATTCTCCTTTCAATTGACAGTATTCCATATTCTGAAGGAAGTAACCAAGCTATGCGAACTTTACTGGATTCCATATTCCTTAAATGAAGGTGATAATTGCAAAACGAGCATTTCCTTACCTAATCTGTTATTCCAGTAAAAGAGGGAAATGACAAACTGATATCAAGATCCCTAAGGACTCCTGATCTTAGAGCAGCCATCTCTAAGTGTTTTAAAATGATCTGTGTCTACACATATCTCTTTAAATAATAAACTTTGTTTCTTCTTTAGCAGTGCTGGGAATCAAACCCATGGCCTCCCATAAGCTAAGCAAGAATTTAGCTCTGAGCTACATCCGCAGCCAAAAATAAACTTCTTGAGATAAAAAAAAATCATACACTACATTGTTCATAACATTCCTTTAATTTAATGACACTGTCTGGATAATAATGAACCACAGTAAAATCAGAAAATTTAATCATGTATCTGAGAGGAAGATGTTCCCCAAACTCCTTACTAATCTCCTTCCTTGTCCGAAGATCTATCCTTAAATTTGAATTGAATTTTTCCTTTTCTTGTTCTCATCTTAAACAACTCTCTTATTAGTTAGTTTATAGAGGATTGAACTCACTACCAAACCTAATGAGCCACAAGAGCATCCTCCCTATTGTTCATCACAGTCTGCACTTGCACAGACTCAATCAATCCCTCAAAATACCCCATCATCTCACATTAGAAATCACACAATTTCCATCCCACCCCTCAAATATTAAGGGTGATCTTCAAGGCTCTTTTAAAGTTTTTCATAACAATGCACTGATGTCTTATAGTGTAGGACCAGAAAACTACCTTTGGAGTCAAAGACAGCTTAATTGATATTCAAACGATGAACTAACAAATTGCTTTGTAATTCTAACTCCCCACACAGAACATTGTCACCAAATATGATGGATCTTCCCAAGTTCCAGGAGGCGTCCACTCCTCCAAGAAACCTCCTTTGATTTATCAGCAATAAGTTTGATCATGACTCTGTTCTGGGTCCCCTGGTTCTAAAAGTCACTTTACATATAATGGCATCATAGGAATTGAGTTTTGTGAAGCCAGAGTGGCACACCCAGTCAGTTCTCACCCATAGTTTTATGAAAAAAACCTGCTAAATTTACCTTCCTTGATTCTATTGCCTTCAAGATGACGTGGGACCTGTTTAACACTGGTAGCGTTCAGAGATGTCTGGGAAAGACAGTTTCTTTTTCGATCCTGACTTCATCTGTGGGGTGGAGGGCTTGCACTGAAGTCTTGTTCTGCAGAAGTCATGCTTCTGTATGGTTCCTGCCCTCAACCCTCAACAGGAGGCTAAAGCATTTTCCCACTGTACTCTGATTCAATCACCCTAACCAGATGAAAACAGGAAGAAGCTGGTGTATTGTCAGATCACCTTCTGACTCTAAGGCTAAGCACACCAATTCTCCCCTGGGGATACTACCACAATCTCTTTTAGAGCAGTGGAGACAGAACTGATAACTAAGAGAGCTTGGAGACCTCTGGGTCCCAATGTGGCAATTAAAACCAACTGACTGGCTCAAGATCTGCCTTGCAGTCCTCAGTTCTCCCTAGCCTCACACTCTGCCCAAACCAAACTGATGTATCCAGTGTGCTCAGAACACCCCTTCTCCCTTGCTCATGGACAGTATAGCCTTTCCCCAAATTTGATCCCAGTCCTACCAGCCCTTCAATTAAACCAACTTTCATGTCTCACTTGAAGCTAAAATGTTTATCACAATTCAAATATCTTCCTTCTTCAAAACTGTTGTTGAAACTTCCCATAGCCTTGCACCTGCACAAATAATGGAAAACAATTCAATGTCCTCCAGGAAGAACATGGATTAAAAAAATTATTCACAGTATTCCCTCTGTAATGCATTTCTTTATCTATTTTGCTATTCAGTTCAGTTATTTGCAGTCTTCTATTTTACTCTTTTCTTAAAACTGTAAATCACCGGATTGGGAATGATGTCATCTTTATTTGACTGTAGCCTTGCTGCCTGTGTGTTCTGTGACATTAGCCAGGTCACTCAGTCCTGTGGATCTGGTGCTTCCTTGTCTGAAAGAGGAGATGACATTATCTCTTCATTGCATTGAATTAGGACAAAATGTAGTAATGCAGAAACTGCTTTTATATATCTAAAATATAAAAACACAGCATCATTATTCTCTATTATTTTCTTTTGCTCCTCACCTAGGTCTGTTAGTTATCTTATTTCAAATTTGAATCAAGGATTAAAGCAACCTGAGATCACGAGTTTGACCTGTGGACTCTGATAAGCTACCATCTGCTGGAAGAACATAGCCAGTGCACCTGTTCCCAGAAACCCAGCTCATGATCAGCTTCCATCTGTCACGTGAGCTGAGAAAATTTGCTCCTTGGTAGTTAAAAATGAAGAAAAAAAAGAGGATCAGTAACAAATTTTTCCAGTCATCATGTTTTGAATACTCCTCCCCTGATTTTATTAGCTGATAAGGACCATTCTTGAGATCCACTGAAAGACCTCTTCTTACTTTTCTAGCCCACCCCACATTGTACAGATTCTTTCTAGCACTTGTCCACTCACTGATTTTCTCCTTTGTCTTTGTACCTTTCTAAGCTGAGAGCTCCTTATTCATAGATAACAAGTTGAATATTTTTAGAAATCAGCATTTTCCTTTATGATACACAGATATGATGAATGAATGTTAATTTAAT